AACAGACCCTGCATTGAGGGATATTACCAACTCTTATCCATTCCCATTTTGCTTGGCTTCTGCAGTCAGCGGAGAGTGATTTCCCAGAGAGAAGAAATCTGAGTCTTGGAAATGGATGCGTTGTAGGCAACCAGTGAATGTTTATGGCGGGGTTTGTCCTTTGATTTATTGATATATGTTCTCTTAGTGGTTAGTCAGACATTGGGCATTGTAGACTCTCATTTTCTTACCTTCTGTTGTTCATCTTTGATGTATTATTAGATTAAAAAATAAATTTTATTTTTAGTTCCATGATTGAAAGACTGTTTCCTGATCATGGGGCATAATCTGAAACAAAATTCTATTTCAAAAACATTTGGAATTATGCTACAATTGTGTTAGAATACACTTTAATAAAACTCTGAAAAGAAACATTAACTGAAACGCATATTAACCTGTATTTTAGAGCCATGAGTGGAAAGCTAACTGTTCAAGAAGAACAAATTGTAGAATTGATTGAAAAAATTGGTGCCGTTGAAGAGGAGCTAAATAGAGTAAGCATTCAAAACAATGTTGTCATGTGAAAAGTAAATGCTGAAATATCAGAATGTGAGAGATCTGATTTTGTTTTTTTTGCTGACCCATATACTGAAGTGTATATTACTGATAATTTTACCATTATCAGTAATATTGAAGAAACTGTTTTGAGATAGATATATAAATGCTACATTATAAGACATTTGAATTTATTTTTTATTATAAGTCTAAATGGTGACTACTGAAACATTTTCATTAATGTGTTTATCAGATGAGGAAATGCAAGTATTGGGCGAAACCAGATGTCAAATAATGAAAGTGGAAAGGCCTGACCCTTTTCTGTCACACTCACATTGGCACTGTTGAAAAGAACCTGAATACTTAACACCAGTATACTAAGCCTGTTATTTGTCTTTAATGAATTTACAGAAAGAAACCAGACACCATATAAAACCAAGCCATATAAAATGTGTTTCTTTTTTTTTAAGATTTATTTATTTATGCATACAAAACTGGGGTACAAGCCATAGATATAGGGGCAGTGAGAGGATTCACCAGACAGGGGGGAGCAGAACAGGCAGATCGACGAAGTACACTCCTGAGGGAAGCAGCGGGCAGGTCAGGAGAGGTCTGCATGCCATGTGGGTGACCTCTAGGGCGGTGAATCAAACTCACACTGACACGGCTGTGGCTAGCTTGCAGTGCTGTGTCCTAACCCATTGTACCA